GTTTATAAATAAACCTGTGTAATGTCCTTATCAGTATGTTCACGTGTATATGTATGACTTGTTTATGTGCAAGTAAACCAAATGGAACCTTATGTAAACAGTAAACAGGTCTCTAATGAATGCAGTCGAATAAAAAAAGATGGGATGACTCAAGTAGGTCTCGTCACTGCCATCTGGTATTGTTCATAACCCAGTACCTGAATTTATAAACCGCTTTTCAATCGCAGCCGAGGGTAGGGCCAAACGCACAATACTGTGGCATTGTCTGAACCATTGACTCAGATTTGCAGAGAATTTATTACTTCAACATAATGATTCGTCCTTTTTTATTTTCACCTTAATTGGCACATGGTCACGTGATGAGGTGTGCTGACACATGACATCTGTACCAAGTGCACGTGCTGTTTACCTGTCCCTTTACGTGAAAATGAATTAGACGTTACCGAATTGTTTATGTAGATTGTAACATTTTCACGCTATAATTGTAAAAGATGCATTTAAAGCCAACTTTTTTGCCGGTGTGGCGTGATAGACCCGTGCCGTGACGAAACCGTTCTGCACATGCGCATTGAGGGTAGATTGAAGGAAGTAACTTCCGGTATGACGATGTCGTCCTAGGTAGGCGCTATGTTTGCACTGAACTATGATTTTCCAATTCATAAGTCAGTGGTTTTCGTCATGAGAGAGTATGTATTTGATAATCTTATTACTACAGTATACGGGGGAATGTTGGAAATGAGCTTTTGCTCGTGACTGAACTGTTTTGCTCTGTGCAAAAAACGTGGCAGATCTAAGACTCGTAGTATAAATCTTTTCACTCTACAATGTTCTTTCAATTCAGAGTTCAGTCATTTTCATTAAAAAGAAATTGTGTATTTGATAATACTACAACTTTCTCTACGGGGAAATGTTGGAAATGCATGTGCAGCTACGTTCTGTAAGTCAACAGACTGCTACCCCCGCGTGAATAATCCGCCAGAACGGTTTATTCACGACGACGGTTTCTTCACGTGACACCACAAAACCTGACCAAACGCCACCATATAGTTGCAAATATTCTAACTTATAGAAATGCCAATGGACATCGTTTCATGTTTCCTAAAAATGATATTTGGACGGATATTTTCTGCTTTCTGTACATGTATCTCTAAAGTTACCTATAAAGCGAGCGTGGATTTCCAGTAACGTGTATAATCCACTTCTACAAATTTCTTATACAACTAAAACAAAGTCGACATGCCAAGTCATCAACAAAATTAATAATAATAAATAAATTTCTTTAAAAATGCTCTTCCTTCAAATCTTTGTTCGTAAATTGACAGAGTCGTCGCTCCCTCCAATTCATTAAGGCCCTTTAAGTGACGTTGGATTGTATGCGCATTGCATAATTATTACTCTCATTCGCCTGTATGGAGGTATAACTGTGAGCGCATAGTCATTCAATATGATTGGTGAGGAATATTTACAGCACAGAAAGAGAACAGAAAGTTATGTCCAAGTATCACTTTTCAGGAAATATGAAACGATGTCCTTTGCTATTTTCTCTAAGTTATAATATCTGAAATTTTATGGCGGCGTTTGATGGTTTTTTTATTTGAAAAAAGCTGATTTTAAATACATCTTTAAACGCGATTTATTATTGACAGCACGGAATTGTTTGAAGGTCAACATTGGAATTTAATATTTAACGTAATAAATATATTACATTTATTATAACTGACAATTTAATTCCCTGTGTAGTATCTAACAATGTGTCAAAATTACAGTAAAGAAAGGAAGAACTTTCCCACAAAATGTGGCGCATTCCAGCACGGAGAGCGTTGTCAGTGAACGCTTATCTGATAACCTGACGATCTAGCAGTAAAAGGACACGGCAATTTCTGTGTGTCACGATACACCGACCTTAGACAAGAATATACTAGAACATGTAAATCGTACTTCAGCTTTGGTGAAAACAAAGACATTACGCTCTCGCAAAAGAACAATGCCGTTCAACCTCGAGATGCATCTTTAATTTTTTGATCCCATTCCCATAAAGACACCTTCGATTTACGTAGATCGAGCGATCTTTGCAGGGACTCTCGTTAAGTGCAATCAGCTTAATTGGATGACATGCCTCCTTTTGTTTCCAACACACTCAAATAATCACCAGCTTTTCTGTACTCTATTTAAAACCAGGAGGAGGTGTGTTAATCTGATAAGCTGATTGCCTTCAGCGAGAATCCCTGCATTACTGGGTCAATCCATGTACCATGGTGTTAATGGGAATGCACCATATATGTTTAACAAGAGGAGGTGGTCAGGGTGGGCGGGGGGGGGGGGGGGGGGGAGTCCATACACATTTTAGCCAATCTGTGAGGCCATACTTGGACACTGCCCTTGCACGCTCGTTTGATAACGGCATTTTCGCTCTAAGAGTTGCACATGTACAATACCGGTATCTACTCACAATGCAGTAGGTGCGCTTAAATTAGGAAGACCGCGTATTTTGGGTCCAACTGCAGAACTTTTTAAAGGCATTGCTGTGATTTCGAGCCACCCTGTAAGGAACGGCAGACGTCCCTCGACAGAAGAGATAAAAATGGCGACTAGCCTGATAACGAGGGGTAGGTTATCTTGTTGTGTATGTTTACTGTTGATCAACGTCTGTTTACCCGTTTGACGATAATAAAGCTGTCGGAATAAAGCATAATGCACTACACAAAGAGCCAACTCTCCAACCAGACTCACTAAGAACAGTACTAGTAATAAAGAGAAAACACTAAAAAATATCTTTAAATAGACCGGCTGCATGGGGACCCATGCGTAATCGGATCGACTTGTGACATCAACTGGTCTACTTCCGGTCTACTAAAGTTAGGCTGGTGTGAACCCGTACCGCCGAGTGGGTTATTCTTAGGTTTATGGATGAGAAAATAAAGATAACATTTGGAAGCGTATATGAAAAAAATGTTTAAAATTGTAGCTATATAGTGTAAAAGCGAGTATTTGCCTGCGTTTGTCTTTGAAATTATTTTTTTTCGAGAACGTGCGAGCGCGTTTCATGGGATTTTGGGCATAGTCGTATCCTTAATCCGCTATAAGATACGTTAGAGTAATTTCCCATCTCACCCCAGCTTATCTCTTTACAGATATCATGTGCCGATTGTTGTGTGCCAACTTTATCTGTGACATAGTATACGATCGTCGCTGGTCTTTCTCCGCACAGATATCTCGTTTTCATTTCAAGATACCGAATCTGACGATGTTGTATACTTTTGAAAACGAGACCTTCGCTCGGAGATCGAGAGCAATGGGGCTGCAGCAGTACCCCAATAGAAACGGGGCAAATGGGGCTTGACAGTTAAGGCACATGTGGGACACTGAATGATGCATTAATTCTGTATTAATTGGGTGGCGATATGCCGTACACGTAACAGGCGTGACCGTAGCAAGGCGGTGAGAAGCGTAGCTGAATTTGTTGAACTTCTGGTGCCGACAGAGTAAAAAAAAAAAGAGCGTCCACCATAGCGTCCCAGGAGCAGGAATCGTTAGGTCAAAATTAACAAATTGGCAACAGATATTATTGGTAAGTATAACACAATATGCTTCTGGCAGATGCAAGATTTTACTTAGGAGAAGGGAATAAGGGAAGGGGGAGTATTAAAGGGTCATAACAGAGCGCTGTGTACGCTCTACAAGATTACAGCTACTTGGTAGGCTATGGCGTCATTTATGAAATTCTTTGAAAAAAGTCGTCCCTGAAATCTACCGAAAATTGCACAGAATAAGCCAGATATATTGGAAATATCTAGTAAAATAACTTTTTATTGTGACTCTGGTAGAGGGTGCACAAGCGGTGATGGGGGTGGGGGTGGAGGGGGGAGGGTGCGGGTCAAACAAAAAAAGGCGAAGCTACATGTAAAGAAAACCAAAGCACGTCCAGCGCCTCCAGTTCTTTTGGTTTCGCCTTTAAATAAATATCAACCATATACAATGGATTTCAAATACAACCAAGATATACCTGTTGATAAGTATACAGTGTAAATAGACTGGAACAGTTTTACAACGTTATCGGTCAAGTCGCTATTTTACAGCGTCTTTAATGATTAGAACACTAGGTTTGATTATACACCTGTCTGCCAGTGAACAACGCTGAAAGAATCATAAACCTGCCATTTACATTATTTGTATAACGCGTACTCAGAATTTCTTTTTTTAAATTTAATTTCTTTTTCTTCCTATTAATTTCTTTTGTTTTTACAATTTTGGAATTCCACCCGGCACTGTAGTCTATGACGCATACCAGTAGGCGCTTTCTTTGTACAGATTTGGACAAATTTGGAATTTTGTCTTTGACAACTTACTTTAGTATTGCAACAGATGTTCAAAATGTGCTCTTGAAAAGCAGATGATTATCATTATGGTAAAGTGTCCGTAGATTCTAAAATTGTTTAAATTTTTTAAGACACTTGAAAAAGGAAAGGGTAGAGAAATGGGATAATGATAGTTATTGAAAGTCACGCTGTGGATTAATGATTTGTTGTAAATGTGCAATATCATCTCAAATGTAGAATTAATCACCACCTACCAGTTGTGCTTGATAAATGGTTGAAATATTATATCAGCTATGAGGTAGATAAAGGTAGTTTATCCCTGTTTACGCGACTGACCGGTAAGTACGGTGATTAATTTGTTACACATGATTGTTTAATATATTCAGAAAAAATCATGAGATATGACGATTTGAGGGAGAGGTTCAGATTTCGTTTGTTGCTGGATGAGTGTGCATTTTATATGTTAGAATATAGAGTTTTTCTCTCACTTTTGATTTTCAGTTGATTGAAAATATACAGCATGTTCATTCGCTTACAGAAGACAACCGGTGCCTAACCTTAAGACCTACACTAGATTTCTCTGACAATTGTATGGTTCATGATAAGTGAATTACATATTTATGCTTGGAAAATGAGCAACTCTTATAATTTCTCTTATATTTTTTTCTAAATGATTTTCAGAAAATGACAAAGTCATACATAATCAGCGACCAGTTGTCGGTGGACGAGAACAAGGTGGAGCGTCTCAGTCGGCCGTCCAGCGTCCACGTCACCCAAGACCGGTGTGGGGTCGGCGTCCTTCAATGCTGCGCCAACGTCAAAATGTTTACGACCAACTTCGCCCTCATCATGTTGACGCATAGCATTATATATACCTATCTCAGCTCTGTAATCACAACCATAGAGAAACGCTTCGGACTAAACAGCACGCAGACCGGTCTCTTGGCGAGCGTCTACGAAATAGGTTCCATTGTCAGTATAATAGTGGGGACTTATTTATTAAGCCGCGTTCATGTGCCGAGGTACATCTCCATTGCAACAGTTATTGCCGCCATTGGAGCGTTGGGTATGGCAGTCCCGCACTTTGCGTATGGGTCGGGTGTGACAGAGTTTGTGGATAATAATTCAACACAGCAGACGACATTCGCGTTGTGTGGGAACTCCTCCAATAGTAACTCTTCTTGCGAGTCAAGTGCAATAGAAATAACGCAAGGCAAGATCATATAATTATGAACGGGGTTCTGGCACTTTACGTACAACGCTCCTCTTATTAAATACAGTGTATGGCTTGATTACGTAAATTTTATAGGAATGAGGATATTTAGCAGAATATAGAATGCTTTTTATGCACACTGTAAGAAGGGAAATTGTGCCATATGCGCTCCATGTCTGTTTCAGATTTTAGTATTCTACAAGTTAGATTTTAATTTTAAAAATATTTGCTGACATTTTGGAAAGTTATTCCCATTCAGAAATCAAGAAAAGGGGCTGTAATATCTTGAGTGTAAACGAGGTTGGAGAAATGTGAATTCAATTTGAAGCACTTTATCGAAGCTTTGTGATAAAACAAAGCTGAAAAATCACCAGCTTAACGTTATTATTATTATTATTATTTTTATTATTATTATTATTATAGAGTCCAGCATGGCGTTCTTGATGTTCATACTGTTCCAGTTGTTAAACGCTCTAGGGTTTGCCCCTGCCTACCCTCTCGGGGTGACTTACATAGATGAAAATGTGCCCAATACCCAAACGGCGGCATACTCGTGTGAGTCGTAGAATTTATTATTTGATTCATTTGTTTAATTGTTTGAATGTCTTTTGTTAGACTGTGCGTTTGTTGTTCTATTTATTATTTCTATCTGGCCGGTGAAATGCTTACTTTACAAAGAGTCAAAGAATTCATTATTTCGTTGAACCTTTGTTTATTAGATTGTTTGTTTCTTGGTCTATTCATCGCGTTTATTATCTCTACCTTACTTGTGCTTGTTTTAAGCAAAAGTGTTATTTTTTTTACCAAAAAGTCGCCTCTGGGACATTGGTGTATTTGTCTTTAATCTTTAGTAGAATGCAGGAAGAGAAAATGTAACATAACTGCCGTGAGATGGGCGCCATGACCAAAAGTTTGTTCTGTTTCAGCTATCGTGTTTGGCGTGAACATTATTGGACCTGTGATTGGGTTCGTCTTAGGGGCAGTAACACTTGCCTATTATGTAGACTTTTTGGAAGGTATGTGTCTCAATCTCGAGCTATCTGTCTTTCTTTCTCCTTCTCTCTGATAGCGATCCAGAGAGATCCTAAGCTTCACTTATCTCATTTTCTTTTACTTTCATCCATTTGATTTATTTTGTTAATGCAAAAAGTAGTGGTCTTCAAGGAAGAAGTCGGCGACTTATAAGGGGTTCGAGAAAGCTAATATTACGATTAACGAATGTCGCATTGTGTAATGGAACCATTTTAACAACATA